CGACCGATGTGCGCACAGTAGTGCGATACCCCAACAATGCAAAAGGCAACTTTTCATGCCACTTCCTGGAACTTTGAATCATTTTTCTCAGAATCTTTTTGATGTTCTTGTTCGCTGCTTCGACGATACCATTGGATTTAGGACGATAAGGAGTAGAGTTCCGATGCGTTATCTTGAATTGTTCACATATCTCCCTCATCAAATGACTATTCAAATTTGCAGCATTATCCGTAATGATAGTTGCAGGAATACCAAAACGGCAGATGAGGTTGGAATGCACAAAGTCTACTACAACTTTCTTGGTGACAGATTTGAAAGTAATTGCTTCGACCCACTTTGTGAAGTAGTCGATGGCGACCAATATAAATCTGTGCCCATTTGAAGCTTTCGGCTCAATCGGCCCAATGACATCCATGCCCCAAGCAACAAACGTCTAAGGTGCTGACATGGGATGTAATTCTGTAGGCGGCGCATGAATCAAATCACCGTGCACCTGGCATTGATGACATTTTCGAACGAAACTGAAGTAGTCTTTTTCCATAGTCATCCAGTAATAACCCGCTCGAAGGATTTTCTTTGCCAAAACATACCCATTCATGTGGGGTTCACACACTCCTGCGTGTATTTCATACATGATTCTTCTGGCCTCTTTGGCATCAACACATCTTAACAAGTTGAGATCCGGAGTCCTTTTGTACAAGACATCACCACTCAAGAAGAAACCACTTGCATGTCGTCTAATGGTTCTCTTTTGGTCTCCACTGGCTTGCTCAGGGTATTCTTTAGTTTTCAGAAATATTTTGATATTGTGATACCATAGCTGAATATTCGGTTCTACCTCAACCGTATTACAGTAATCGTGCCTTTCCCGGATTTGGATTTCCAATGGATCAATATGGGCATTGCTTGGGTATGGCAGCATCAAGGCCAAAGTAGCAAGTGCATCGACCAGTTCATTGTGACAACGAGGGATGTACCTAAACTCTATTGACTTAAACCACTTGCTAAGATCTTCCACATATTGCCTGTAGGGAATAAGTTTGAAATTCGAGTCTCTCATTCTCCTTGGGCTTGTTAGATAATCAGATCTGAATCTCCCATGATTAACAATTCTTCGACATCTTGGTCAATTGCCATGTTCATACCCATAATACAGGTTTCATACTCGGCAGTGTTGTTTGTGCAGAAAAATCGAAGTCGGGCTGTGGCTGGATAATGCTGACCAGTGGGTGAGATCAAGATTGCCCCGATTCTAACACCTTTTGCGTTTATCGCTCCATCAAAAAACATTTTCCAAGCATTAGTATATTCGGATATTGCCTCAACTGAATTTACCTCTTCATCCGGGAGGTAGGTGCTCAAAGGTTGGTATTCATCATCAACCGGGTTTTCAGCCAGGTAATCTGCTAACGCCTGGGCTTTCGTTACTGTGCGAGTGACGTAGACTATGTCAAATTCAGTGAGTAGGATCTGCCACTTTGCTAACCTTCCCGTGGGCATTAGTTTCTGGAATATGTACTTTAAAGGGTCCAACCTCGTGATAAGATAAGTGGTGTAGGTCAACAAGTAATGCCTCAGCTTTTGAGCTACCCAGGTCAGAGCGCAACAAGTCCTCTCCAACAGAGTATATTTAGCCTCGTAGCTTGTGAACGTTTTGCTCAAATAGTAGATTGCTTGTTCTTTCCTCCCGGTCATGTCATGTTGCCCAAGGACACATCCAAAAGAACTCTCCAAGACTGTCAAATACAAGAACAAAGGCCTTCCCGGTTCAGGTGGGACCAAGACTGGCGGGTTCGACAAGTATTCTTTGATTTTGTCAAAAGCTTCTTGGCACTCATTTGTCCATTTGATTACTGCATCTTTCTTTAACAACTTGAAAATGGGTTCACATGTGGACGTCAACTGAGCAATGAATCGGCTGATGTAGTTCAATCTTCCCAACAAGCTCATAACATCTTTCTTGGTTCTTGGAGGAGGCAAATCTCGAATGGACTTTATCTTTGTTGGGTCTAGCTCGATACCCCTCCGACTGACTATGAATCCCAAAAGTTTGCCAGATGGAACCCTAAATGCACATTTGGCTGGGTTTAGCTTCAGATCATATTTACGCAGCCGCTCAAAGAATTTTCTCAAATCACAAACGTGGTCATCCTGGGTCCTGGACTTGATGATCACGTCATCCACATACACCTCTATCTCTTGGTGCATCATGTCATGAAAAATGGCAGTCATGGCTCTTATGTAAATTGCCCCGGTATTCTTCAGACCAAAAGGCATGACTCTATAACAGTATGTGCCCCAGGGTGTGGTAAAAGCCATCTTTTCTGCATCCTCTTCATCCATCAACACCTGGTGATATCCTGCGTAACAATCCACGAAGGATTGTATCTCATGTTTGGCGCAGTTATCAACAAGGATATAGATGATTGGCAAAGGAAAATTATCCTTAGGACTTGCTTTGTTCAGATCTCCGTAATCAACACACACTCAGGTTTTCCCGTCTTTCTTTGGCACATGAACTACATTGGCTAACCATGTGGTGTATCGGACCACTCGGATCACCCCCGCTTTCAACTATTTTGTGACCTCTTCTTTAATCTTGTCACTGATATCAGTTTTAAACTTTCTTTGTTTTTGCTGGACAGGGGGATAATCGGGGTAACTTGGCAACTTATGAACCACCAAATCAACACTTAGTCCTGGAATGTCATCGTATGACCAAGCAAACACATCTTTGAACTCAAATAAGAGTTGGATTAATGCGTCCCAGGTTTTCTCATATGTGCGGATGCTTATCTTGGTTTCCCTGACTTCATTAGAACTACCCAAATTAACCGGCTCAGTATCATTTAAGTTCGGCTTAGGTTTATTCTCAAACTGTTCCAATTCTCGATTTATTTCCCTAAAAGCCTCTTCTTCATCATATTTCGATTCTTGGTTCATTATTTCACAGTTAGACAGCGTGTTTGGATCTGGGCATGACATGTCATGTTATTTAAAGCTGCATTATTAGAACTGAAAGAAGAAATAAAAGAGAAAAATAACAAAAATCAAAAAGAATAAAGAAAGATGAACGATGAAATATTGATTTCATTTCTTTGAATTTGAAGATAACAGGGTTTACATTGGAAATTAAAGATAGGAAACTAAAGAAAACATTCGAGTTACACCCTGAAATAACTCGCAATGCAGAAAAAGTGGCAGGACTAGACTACCGAGATTCCCGCCTGATTGGGAATGGAGTAGCCTTCCAATTTTGCAGTTTGGCACTGGGTCCCATGTATAACACCTCAGCGGTTCTTGAGCCTTCCTCTAGTTGGACCATGTGGGTTTCATACAACATCTGTCTCATAGCCCTACAGATTTCTTCAATTTTCTCGGCCGTAAAGGCCTCATCTTCCTCTTCCTCATTGTATTTAGGCTTGACAAATGTCCTATAAAGATGCGGAATCGGCTGAGGCAAGACCCAACCATTGTTCTTTCTTTTATCCGCCCATTTTCCATCAGCTGATGTAGGTTGGAAACCTACCCCAAAGAACTTGTCACTAGCAGCGAGAGTGATAGGTTCGGCGATTCCTTGCAATGACTTCCCAAGCCCCTTCCCGGGTTTGTAACCACGTCTGATCATTTCTTTGGCCACCATAATTGATGCATTTGAAAGAAAGGGTTGAGGGCAAGGGTCTCCTTCTTCACATTGGTCCGCGACCACAATCTCAAAAGCCTAATAGACTATATGTTCACTTCCTTCTCTAGCTTCAAGATAAGAGACTGACGGGTCCCGATAAATCAATTGCTCATCTTCCCCGTGAACTACAATCTCCTGATCTTCATGTTCGAATTTCACCATCTGGTGGAGAGTAGAAGGCACAACCCCTGCTGCGTGAATCCACGACCTTCCCAAGAGAAAATTATAGGAAGTATCGATGTCCAAGACCTGAAAGGTCACCTCGAAGTCCACCGGGCTGATAGTCAGAACCAGATCAATCTCGCCTATTGTATCTCTCTTTATGCCATCAAAGGCATGCACACAGACGTTGTTGGGTTTGATTCTCTCAGTACTGATTTCCATCCGCTACAGAGTTGAGAGAGGGCAAATATACACCCCAAAACCACCATCTAGCATGACCCTTTTCACATAATACCCCTTGCATTTAATTGTCAGATGAAGGGCTTTGTTGTGTGCGGCCCCTTCCGGGGGAAAATAATTCTTGCTGAAAGAGATTTGATTGACTGCAAAAAACCTTTCTGTCATCCTCTCCAACTGTTCTACAGTTGTTTCAATGGGCATATATGCTTCATTGAGAGTTTTGATCAACACTTTTTGATGTTCAATTGAATTTATTAGCAAAGACAACAAGGAGACTTGGGTAGGGGACTTTCGGAGCTGGTCGATTATCTCGTAGTCTGCCATTTTCATTTTCTGAAAGAACGCTTCCGCTTCTTCAGCACTCACTGGCTTCTTAGGTGGGAAACGCTTCTTTGTGGCATTATTCATTTCCTCCAGATTGAGGTACTTCTCAGTCGGGTTATTTTCCTTAACTTCTCCCGAGATCTCTTTGCCTTTGTAAGTTACTACCGCTTTGTTATAGTTCCATGGAACGACAGTGGGATCTGTCATGGGCTTTTGCGGCATGCGACCAATAACCACGGGCTCATTCAGCCTTGGTGGAACTATTGGCCCCCGCACCACATAGGTCCCCTTGGGAACATACATTTTAGCTCCCTTGTTTAGCTCAAACCTTCTAGGAGGACTCAATGACATCTGTTCTTTCTTGTGGCCCCGAGAAACATAGAGAACGACATCTTTGGAGGGCGCTGCCCCAGTTTCAACTTCCACTTTCTTTTCTGTATTCTGGGGGGGTAGGTTTGCTCTTCTTCTCCCCTTGTCTTGTTTCGCGACTACTTTTGGCTTCTTTTCCACATCGGCTATGGCAATGATGGCTTTTAGAGCTGGTTCAAACTCTCTATCTTCACAGATCATTCCAATAACTGGCCCATTAGTGTGGGCCGATAATGGATTGTTGGTTACATTAGGAACATCTTCGTCCTTTAGCACTATTCTCTTTTGTTCTATCAGATTTTCCACAGCCCTCTTTACGGTCCAACAGTCATCTGTATCATGCCCATCTGCCCCTGAATGGTAGGCACATCAAGTACCAGCTCTGTAAGCGGGCGACGCTGGGTTCTACCTGGTTTGGGGTACAGGCTGCAACAAACCCATCTAGACAAGTTTGGGGAACATGCTGGAATAAGACTCACCAATGGGTGTGAAGTTTGGTACCTTGGGTGGTTCCCGGGTACGGAAGTTGTTCTGTAGAGGTCGGGGATTATAGTGAGCTTGGTGAAGAGGTTGATTTCTGGGAAATAGAGCTTGGTTTTGATTAAATTGTTGTTGTGCCCTAACGTAGGGTTGGGCATTCATTACTACGTATGGCTGAGGAACCATAGCATACGCCATATCTTGGTGGGGATAGTAATGTTGTGGGGTTCTTTCAGAGAAAAGAGGTCTGGATGGATGGGGCTTTCTTGCACTTGAAGGTGCCATTGCTGCTTCTTCCTTCTTCTTTCGATTTGCTCCTCATCCAGACCCGCCTTGGATTGCTTGTGAGGTAGCTCTTATAGCAGACTGACTCAAGATTTGCCCTATTTTCAACCTATTTTCAACCATTTTACTGATTTTGATGGCTTAGGCAAATGGCCTACCCATCGCAGACATCATATTTTGATAATAATCAGCCTCTTGGGCTTGAAGGAAGACACTGACCATCTCTGTTTCATTCATTAAAGGTTTGACTCTGGCCGCTTGTTCGCACCATTTGACAGCATATTCTCGGAAGCTTTCCGAGGACTTCTTCTTTAGATTTGATAATGAATTCCTGTCAGGGGCAATGTCGATGTTATATTGAAATTGCCTGACAAAGTCTCGAGCCAGGTCGTCCCAGATATGCCAGCGAGATATATCCTGATCCATATACCATTCCGAAGTGATGTCGACCAAACTCTCTCCAAAGTAGGCCATGAGAAGTTCTTCTTTTCTGCCCGCTCCCTGCAGTTGGTTGCAGTACCTTTTGAGGTGAGCAATGGGATCCCTATGCCCATTATATTTTTCAAACTTCGGGGTTTTGAAACCCAAGGGTAGATGTACGTGTGGGAACATGCACAGGTCAGCGTAAGATACGCTCTTCTACCCACTCAGACCCTATATATTTTTGAGACTTTTCTCTATACTTCTCATCTTTCTGGTAATCTCCTCTTGTTCAGGGGTTTTTGTGGTTTTCTCCTACCCTGCGGTAAACTCGTACTAAGGCGTCTAAGAGTAAGCATTGGTAGTAAACTGGGTTGGTTCCATTGGGAAAAATGGTGCTTGAAATGTGAACGAAGATGGATCGAAGCTAGGCCTGGGTAAAGCAGGTTGTGCCGTGGCTGAACAAGGTGGTGCGGTGAATATATTTGAAGCCACACTTGATGTTAACACCTAGGGGCGGGTCTCAGAAGGTGTTCCAGCAAAGTGGGCTGAAATGGTAGGATATCCCAATGGGGTATTTGGATAACTTATGGGGATGTTGGAGGTCCCACTTGCCCTGGGAAACAACTCAGGGAATCCGGGTATTGCACTTGGTGGTTCTTTTCCATTTGCCCAGGCGTCCCACATTTCCATCATGCGGAGACGTAGAATCCTATTTTCCTCAACAGTCGCTGACTCAAAAGTTGGAATGGCCGAGATCAGACTATCCTCCGGAATAGGAATTGTTGGCAGAGGAATTTTTGAAGACATTTCAACACTTCCTTTTGACCTCGTGACGTATGGATGTGAAGCCAGACTACCACAAAACCAACCACCTTACTATAGAACCTTGACTTAACAGTAGACAACAAACCGGTTAGTTTGGACCAGTTAACACGTAAGTAATCGCATGTTGGGGGTGTGATACACCTATAAAGTTAAATGTGTTTCTACATATTTTGCCATGGTTGCATGTTTCATCCCGACTTTGCTTACATTTTTCCAATTTTCTTTTCTTCCACTTTGGCTTTTTGTGCTTCTATTCCCATTTTCCGCTCTTTTCTTCCATCTCTTTCCTTGCTCTTTTTTTGTTTTTCTTTTGATTTTTCTTTGGCTCTCTTTTTCTTTCTTTTTGGGTTTTCTTTCGGTCATTTCCTTTCACATCCCTCTCTTATTTGAGTTATTTACAAAAATCATGACTGGATTCAATGAGGATTGCCTACGTATCACGATGCCGCGTGAATCAGATCATTACGTAGTTCAAGAAAATAAATGCGAAAAATAAAGAAACAATTTTTGGGAATGTTCAATTTTCATTAATAAAAGCTCCTAAACCTTTCTATTACAAAAGACTTCAAACAACTCAATTTCTTGGAATTTTAAAGAATTTTAAAACTACAAACAGACTCAAAAATAAATTCTAAACTAAAAACTAAAATACAGACTCGATAAATGAAAAATCATGAGTACATAAGTGCTTCGAATCCTTGGGCCCGTGGGACATCATTCGGTCTTGCCACGGGCCTACGTGCAAGATCCCCTTGAAGCCGCTCCAAATCACTCATTATCTGGCGGACAAATGTCATTACTGCAACAAAGAAAGTGGTCTGAGTCATGTCCTCACAAGCGTGGCATTTCATGACAATATAGTCGGCAATGGCTCTAACCCTCTCTCGGATAATACCCTTTTCCTGAAGCAGGCGCCCGATTTGCTGATACCGAGCTAGTGTCATGTTGGCTTTGATTCTGCAACTGTTGCATATCTTCCTCCATCTGGGGCATCAAAGCATAACAATGTTCCCTGTCGGCTTTAAAGTTCCTAGCTTGTTTGGCCGCCTCATTCTCAAAGGTAATTAGCTTTCTCTTCAGATTGGTGATTGTCCCCTCATATTTTCTTTTCATTTGTCGCCCAAACTCTGCCCGCCCTTCTGCATTCTTTGCCAATTGTGCTCGGACTTTTGCTAGACTGGCCTCAGATTTTTGTAGGTCATCTTGACACTCGAGTACTTTCTTTTTTAGACCACTTATAAGCCTTTCATCTGCTCAGCTTCTTTCCGGGTTTCTAGCAGCTATTCTCATTTTCTATATCTGAGCTTTAAGGGCTTCGTTTTCCTGGCTTAGCTTCTTCTTCTCCCCTTCATTTGCGGCAGCTTGGATACTATTACCAAATTTGCAGTCCCTGATTTGTCCCTCTAGTTTACTTATCTTGGCCCTATAGCTTTCTTCTTTTGCCAACTAGTCTCATTGCTCCTGCGAGTCGTGAGTGAATTGTTGGACATGGGGTCTTAGCAGGTCTTTCGGGAATCTAAAACCTTTTACCAAACCAAATCATATAATTGGGGTCTACCTCACCTCTAACTAGATCCCGCACCATAATCTTAGGTTCGAGAAATCTGCACTCATTCCAAAATTGGCGAACTTTTCCTTCTGGAAATACAGCCTTTGGGCCTAGTTCGACGACATGTCCACTCAAATCTTCGTCATGGGGGACGGTTTGAAACCTGCCCAGTTGGCTCAAAACCCTGTGAGGAGCATATGGCTGGATGCTCTGGATGCCCATTAGGAGAAGATAGCACACTTCGACTAACATTTATACGACTTCGGTGGCAGGGAGCCATTCGAACGTCCACTCAATTTTATCCGAAGTTAAAGAACTTAAGTGTGCACACCAAGCCTTGGTACCCTCTGGAAATTCAACACCCTCCACTCGGCTTTCAAATTCTTCGATGCAATCCAAACCGGTCATGCCATAGTTCATATACCTGACACAATGGCAGAGATGTTCATGTATCCATAATTGTAGTAGTAAGTTGCAGCCTTGGAAGAATTTGCCCCCTTCTCGGCAGATGGTCAAAGCTCGGTAAATCTCAAATAAGATCAGGGGAACCATGGTGCCATTAGTTTTCTTGATCGCGACATTAACCATTCCCACGAGGCCCAATTCTATGTTGTCGTCTTTTCGCGGACAGATTATAACACCCAAGAATGCTACTATAAAAACCGAGCCCCGCCGTGCCTCCTATTTATCTTTATTTCTATCATGGGTCAGACCAGTATTCGGTGCTTCAAATCCTTGGGGTTTGCCATAGCATCGGTACAAGAACTGGAAAGTACAAAACCCTTCAGATAAATTCCCATCCTAAATATCCCAATTAATACTCAACATATCCAGAACCTTGTGAGGAGATATTGGTCTCGGTGACACCGGGTACCGACTTCTAAGGTTTCCGTTAAGGCCGGTGTAACCCGCAATTTCCTCTAGCGTGGGTGTGAGCTCAAAATCAAAAAAGTAGAACACATTGCGAGTCGGATCCCAAAAAGGTATCAAGGCTTCTATTACGTCTAATCTTGACTTGATGTTCAAAAGTCCGACAAGACCACCCAAAACTTTTACCGCGGTTCCTCGGCTGACTTTTCCTAAGTCGTTCCACCACATGTGGAGCTGCAAGGGGATCTCCTTAAGAGCTGCGAAGGGTTAATTTTCATCTGTGCTCATCCTGCACATTTATTAGGGTAATTTAATTTTTTTAAAAATATGACTCATTTTGACTCAAGAAAAAGTTATCACTATTTTTTTAAATTTTCATAAAAAATTTGGCTTTGCAAATACGACCTTCAGCACTTCGGGAAAGAAGATTTTAAGGCTGTGTTTGCTAACTGGCCAAAAACCTTGAAAAAGCGACCAAAGGTGGTCGTTCTTGCAAAAACGGCCTTCCGGCGCCCTTTTAGGGACATTCGGCTATTTTAAATAATAATGGCATCACCTTACTTATTTACAATAAAAAATTTTGTTCTTTTTTGGACTAATTTTGTAAAAAGGAAAGTTGGACCCGATGAGGGTTGCCTACGTATCCCACATCCGATGAGAATCTAACTGGCGTAGTTCGAGCAGATTTGAAAAAATGAAAACAAAACCAACTATTTTCAAAAACAAAATTTTCTCTTTTTTTTTTCAAAATTTCGGTAGAGTTTCAGTATATTTTTTGGACATTGGTTTTTTAAAAAACAAGCAATTATCTCTCTTAGCCCTCACAATGACTCTTCTTTTTCCCAACTTTTCTCCTATTATCCATAAGCCGGTCAACATGCAAATCTGAAGCAAATAAATGCACAAGTAGCAAGTAAGATGCATCATGATGGTCTTTTCATTTCGGGTACACCTGTCCTAGACAGACCCAACCTCTGTGTTGAGTCTCTAAAGTCAAATCGTGATGCAAACAAACGTTCCTACTAGGGATCCGACATGAAGTTTTGTTATACTAGGTTTAAAACCTGAGTGTATTGTTCTAGACCTGGCTTACCCGAGCGGACAGCTCGAGCCGGGGGGCAGCATACCGGAAATACAGAAGCTTCACCGGTTTTGCAGCTTGTCCGAACCTCATTCTAAAATTGGATAAGACTCTGAACAGAAAAGAAGTCACACGAAATGCACACTTCCCGGATGATTTAGAAGA